CTCCATCAGAAGGAAAGTTTCTATTGCATGCTAGGTCAAACGAACAGTGGCTCCTCATCTCACTCAAAAAGCCGCACATCTCAACATAGTGTCAGCTAGATCATTTACTGCAATTAGCTCAACTACGAGGATAGCCAAAATTGGGATGCATCAATAACCCACCAACAAAGTAGGTCACGCCAATGGGTTAATGTTGGAAGATCTGATATGCCTTATTACAGAAGTTGATATTTAAAATGGCAATTTTTGATAAGCAAATCAACATGGTTGCATGACTACACAATAAGTCCCCAGAACAATAAAGTCCAAGTACAATTGAGAAGTGAAGGAGAAGGATCATGCAAAAACTACATACCGCTTCTGGCAAATTTCGATTTGCTCCACGACCTTGATGTAAGCACAAGGCAAGTTGGTACTGAGCACGAACAAATCCAGCAACAGAAGCTTGAAACAACCATTTAACAGCCTCCTTCATGTTCGGAGGTTCAGCTGCATACATTATAACATCCAATAAGCGCACACACACCCAAAATGCAATTTTATCTCACAGAATCAAAATTTTCTTCCGCCCCCCCCCCCCCAAAAGGGCCCCAATAGCCAATCACTAAGTGAAATCACGCAAGATAAGTTGGATCAACTTGGGTTAGAGTCAGAATCACTGTCATCTTATTTCTAAATTACTGCTTTACCTTCCTAAGCATGAAAATTCGGCCATGCAAGCAGAGTTGGGGAAAATTTTTATTTTTCCTCAATTATAATTCGAAGAACTCTATTACATGATGACCAGAAGGCCTGATCATAGATTTGAATCAATTAGTTCACTGTAAAACAAATTTTATAATTGCCTTGCCATGAAGAAATCCAATATCTAAAGGATTCAGCTCAATTAGAACTACAATTACAGCTTAATCAAATAAAAAATATACCATGATTAGAGCAATAATAATCAAAATAAGTATACCTTGCAAGTATGAAATCCCCAAATTGCACTGCCCAGCCGGGTCACCGAGCTCAGCTGCCTTCCCATAAAGAGCAATACCTTCTTCCTTCTTTCCCATCTCCCAATAAATCAGACCGGCGTCGACCATAGCGAGCGTGGATCCACGCGCCGCTCCTTTCAGAAACGAGTCCAATGCCTTGTGGAGATTAGGTTTGACACCGCCACGGCCGTGCTTGAACATCTTACCCCACCTGAGGAACAGCATGGCATCTCGAAGCGGTCTCAAAGCGTCCCCCCACGACTTACACACCAGCGACGCTGCCCGGAGGTTCGGCAGCGTAAAAGTCGCCGCGATTTTCAATAACACGTCGAATGGAAGTGTGGAGAAATCACGGTGGTCGGAAAACGTTGATTTCGACGACGATGGCGATGATTTTGAGGTGAATTTGTAACTTCGGCGGATTGTGGTGGTCGGTGATTTTGTGGAAGTGTGCTTATCGGGGAGGTTTTGTTTGTTGATGAACGGAAGGGCGGTGAATATAGAGCCGTCCGATCGGGACGGCCATGTTCTCTCCTTCATCTTAATTACAGTGATTGCTCTGACGACGACGAGTAAATCATGAGAGAGAGAGAGAGAGTGGAGGAGGACGTTTTTTGGAGGTGGAAGAGAAAGGAGACGACGTCGGTGGAGGCGTTGTTGAAATCAGGAGTCGTTAACTATTAAGTGGGCCTCCCAAAGATTGTCGTTTTGTTTCACTCTTTTCTTTTAGGTTTTGTTGTTTGGAGTTTTCGTACGGGTGAAACGGATTGGTAGTTGACTTTAATGAGTTTATATTAAGAAATGTTTTATTAATATCTAATTTTTTTATTAATTTATATTTAATAAATCGCATTTATATTGTGTATAATTGATATATAAATAAATTATATTATATATATTTTTAATTGATTTTATTTATTTTTTTTTTTCTGACGGTAATGCCAAAAAAAGACAACCATTGAGGGTGTGTTTTTTTTTTCTTTGCTTCAGATTTTATTGGTGGCGGCTGTATTTGAACTCAGTTAGCACAAGACATGCGTGGTTGTGAATCGGTTTGGGTTGGCATGGTCTTCTGTAAGATTGTAAATATTATAATTCAAGGTTGATGCTAAGCTAAGATTATGGTATCTATCAGGTATGATACCTTTGTTTTTGTTTGTTTAGGTTTGATATGATCTACCCCACTCCACCTATACCTTCGCATGATTGAAAATTCATGTGAATGTGTTAAATTAATTTTCTTATATTTAATAATTCAAAATTTCAAAAAATAAAAAGGAAATATGAGAGGTTTTTTTTTTTAAGCTCTTCTTGGGAAATTGTTCATCTTGTGAGATTTTTTTATATATCTTACTAAATTAAATGGTGACATCACTTCTATGTACGGTATCCTTCAATACAAATATTGATCATAATAAGCCTTCAACGATGCAGTCCTACTCACACTTCATTATCTTATTATAAAGAGCTTTGTTTCTTAGCTTGCGTATATGTTAACATGGATTGAAGTTCTCAAAGATACGTTTGTCAATAGATTGAGTTTGGGTCAGATTTTAATTGACCCAAATTTAAATTTATTTGTAGTTCATATCCAAATCTGTTAGGTATATTTAAACCGAATCCGTGAAAGTATGAGATTCAAGTTCGAATTATTAGTAAAAAAAAATATATCAATTCATATCTGACTAATTAAATTTAAATCAAATTCGGATCAGAATCCAATTCATTAACAAGCCAACTCACATAGCCCGGATTAGATATTGGGCAGAGGTTAAACAAAATCTAACTTTAGCAGGACTCACGAGCTCATGGGCCAAGATCAAAAGTTGGGCCAGGATCGAAGTTGGGCCCAGCCCGTTGAGTTGTACCCCCAGGAGAAAAAAAGAAGCTTACGATGAAATTCATGAGTTGATAATATATATTGTACCTCTCTTTTAGTTAGCCTAGTTCAAGAGAAAGAAGTCAGGATTAGGGAGCCCGTCCCTCAATATTCTAAATTGGGTAGTCCTGAGGATGTCAACTCCTCTTTATTAAGAACAATGCGCATGATATTATCTTGTACTTCGTAAATAACTTCAATAATTGTTATCCAATTTAATACATTATAATAACAAATAAATTAAAAGATTTTGACCCAATTCAAATGGAATTGTGGTTCCATGAACGAGTTTGTGACAAAAATATATTACCTAGAGTTTTCATATATTAAAGAAAGGGCTAATCTTATTTTGCACTCCAAAAGATATTTCAATTCTCAGTTTATACCCTCAAACATTAAAAATCTCAATTTGCATCCTCAATGTTATAAATTGATAACAATGTCGACCTCGTCCAAACTATCGTTCAATTTTTTGTCATGAATTGAAGCGCATGAGTTGTAAGTACTTTGGGCATGAGGATGAGGTGTGTCTATCATTGTAGATCTTCGTCTGCGATCAATTCGACATCATTTTATATATCGAAAATAAGGTTTTGTTAATCAAATAAAAGCTAAGTCTATCATGTGCAACTCACATGAGGTGCCAACTCTCTGTGAATTTATACATAAGCCCATAGTCGAAGCACTTGCAAGTTGCAACTCACGTGTTTTAATTTATGATTAAAAACTGAACAGTAGTCAAAATTGAGAATCAAATCATCTTTCAGGGGTGCAAAATGACATTAGCCCTTCAAAAAATCTACACCAATATAAATTTCGTTATCATATTGAAAATCTTGAAAAATTAATATTTATACAAATTAAATTAGATATAAAATAAAATAAAATACATGTGAGATTATATTTAATGTGTTTGACTCGAAATTTTATCCTATAGAGAAAAAATACCCAAAAATTAATAAGTTTCATCCAAAAAGTAATAAGCTCTAACCAAATAACTAAAATCCAGTGCGGTAAGCAAGCTTTTTTGTTGTAAGGCTATCGAAGTAGAGAATTCGAAAACCTATTTCTAAGGATAGATAGTTTTGGGAAAACAAGTGTTGTGATGATACTGTCTTTCGACTTGGTTGAAGACAATATTACCCTGTTGCTAAAAAAAAAAATAAGTGAATTAAAAAGTGAATACAACTTAAAAGTTAATAAGTCACATAAAAAAGATAATATAAAATTTTCAAAATTGTTAAATAATACAATACTAAAATTATTTTGCGATACTGTAGTTAAACCCGTCAAAAATAGTCATCACTCAACAGTTCGATCATTTTTCCAAAGTAATGTTATATATACTTAAAAAATAGACTTAAAATGTATATTTCATAATCACAATCATTAATTTTACAGTGAATTTTAATATTTATTAATACTTATTACCTATTCAATAGTTATGATTATCAAGTAACATTTTGAGTCTACATTTGAAGTCTAAATAACGTTTCCCACATTCTCGAATTTATAACCCCGCCACCGAAAATAGAAAGAAAAGAAAATTTCGAAATTGCTGGTGTAAGCAGTGACGCGCTTCACTTATATGACTGGTAACTTAGAGGCCATTGGATGTTGACTTATTTCACAAAACAGAGGAAATATCAATGAAATATAATTCAAATTTAGGGGTGTCAATGAAATTTATCCAAAGTTATTTTAGTTCGACTTGCTCTAAAGTTGGCCTTTTAGGGTTTTTCTTTGGTTTTTGTTGGTAGGGTGCGAAGACTTGCTAACAGTAATCTAGATTCTCGAGGGATCAATTCTTCTCCAAGTCCAACTAGGCATATGTAGATCATAGACTCATCCACAAGTTTTTTTTTTGTTAATTAACTTGGAGATATTTTAGACTTTTAAGGGTATCCCTCTAATTTTTTTGTACACATAATCTTTCATTTTATGTAATATTCCATAACTAATCATAATCCGTGTCTAAAGGCACGACGTTACTCGTAAATAAGTTACAAATATTTGTCCATGTAAAAATGCAAGGTATATCACAATATTTTAGTAAATGACGATGAAAATGAGCTCATTCATCATTGCATAACATATATAATCAAATCTTCATGTAGCGAAAGTCCTGTTATAACTACTGAAACATAATAATTCAAACATTTGAAAAAATACGTCAGTTAACAATATTCATGGTTGATTCAACATCCATCAAGCATACATGGGAAAAAAAACCAATTCGAAAATTAAATCTTGAGCAAAACCCAATGAACAATTTTTGAGTGTAAATAGTAACAATATAACAAATGCAGAACAAATTAAGCTTATGCTATCTAACAATCACAAAAGAGAAGAGTTTCGTCTGTATTGTATGCGGATGAATATTCATGATGGTCTATTTTACCCTTGCTAGTGATTGTAACTAAGGTTCCAACCATCTATGCTTGTGAGAAGAAACGACCAAGCGGATATTGCAGAAGTTAGAACGGCGGCTGAATGTTTTCTTGCAATCCCCTGAAAAGAAAAAACACATGATTTTAACATCCCATATGAGAGTCTAGGAAAAAATTCGAGTCAATTATCCAGTTCATGGCTAAAAAGTACCAACAGAAACTATAACCATGAATTTTATGGGATTAGTGAATTCTTCTCGGTTTAGATTCTGTAGTTATCCTCAATTGAATTGTTGGGTTCCCATTACTATCCTATTCAGTTCCCAAAGCAACCTAATAGGTAAGAAATGGATGGAAGAGAATCCGAATCAACCAAGTCTAACCTCCCTCACAATATACAGATAAACTTTTGGCTTTATACTAATGCACGTTGCCCTATCGCAGGCTGTGATTCATCGATTAAGTCAGGAATTCATAACTGCAGGCTAAATCAAGAGGTAAACAAAATATGACAGACTTCAGGGAGAATATATTGAAAAAATCAATGTTCCAAGGGATCAGAAACTTGGGGAGGGCCAACCCCTAATCCTAAGATGGCTTCGCCAGTACTGCTGTGATTCCAACAGGCATTAAAACTAGAGTTGTTGTGCTTGTCTGCATGTGAGTTATGATGGAGCTTTTTCAAGCTGGTTCAAAATTGAGGCACAAGCTAAACCTGAGGTTTTCAAAAGCTGAACCACATGATTCAAGCATGGGCTAGGATCAGGGTCAAGAGAAGCCGTCGAGCAAATGGTTCAATCCCAAACAGTAACACACAAAGACTAAAGCTTAAAAATAATGTTTCATGGATTTTATGGACTAGGCCTGTGAAACAAAATAAAACAATGAGGATGATAACCGAGGAAACATGGAAAATACTTCTAGCAATCAAGATTTATGGTAAATGTAAAAAGAGAATATCAATCATAAAGAGTCAAAATCTGAAAGACAGAAATGAACACCATGACGCATGCAGCCAAATAAGAAAGAAACTTTTTTGCTTTCCCAATGTCCCAAAACCAGGTATTAGAGTTATTTGAAAACTTACGTGTTCTTTCACTTGTTAATTTAGCATCTTCTGCTTGGAAATAGTAGTAAGAGATTCATGTTAAAAGAGTCATGCTATTGGGACAAAATTTGAGGACATAATGATTGTGGCCATTAAATTATCGTGGGTTTTAACATTAAATGCACTCCACTATCAATCTAATGGTCACAATGCATTGTCCCAATAGCATTAGTGAGGTTAAAATGGTGTTGCTTCTTTAACCTAGAGAAGTCATTGTCCAATTTGATTGTCATAATTGAGGATATGGGAAGGCACAGCTCACATGTTTTTGGTGTTGGAGATTTACTTTTCTATTGGAGATTTACTTACCTAATGTAGTTTCTTATTAGGTTGCTTTCCTATTATGTTCTACTTTCCTAATATTGTAATGCTCTTTAACACAAATCTAATATACATAGGTGATAGGATGTTGGTAATATACATCCTACTCACTATTTTTCCATAATCTCTTTCTCTTTTCTTCTCCTTTTCTTTCTTTTCCCAAACCCTAGTTTTGGTATCCCACTCCAGAACCAGTGGTCTACCAGGATATTTTCTAATTTGAGATCCCCACCATAGGTAGTTGCAGAAATGCTGTTCTGCAAAGGTAAATTGTGATGAAACTTCGGATATTTTGTAGATTCTGCTCAATGTGGAGCCACTAGACTGGTTTCAGAGGTCCAGGCATCCTTTGGACCTCGGGCAGACCTATAATCCTGTTCAAGGACTTTACTGCAGTCTGCAGATCATAAAGTCAGCCCTTACACCTCAAAATGGATGTACGCTATGTGCAGAAGTATCCCTCAAAATTAAAAAAATTATGACAGTGATTAAAACATCAGAAAAACTCTGACAGTGGTTTCAAAATAAGACAAGTTATAAACAAACAGACATGGACATACGTACCTTGAAGCCCGATTGTGAATGAATGAAGCCCAAAATAATTTTCACTGCTTTTTCAGTCTCCTCCACATTACTTCGACCAACAAAGGTGACAATAGCCAAACATTCCAAGATCTACCACAGAAAATCACAATTTAGGTTATGAAGTTGATATTTCTATCACACAAAAAACCAACAACATAAATATCCCACGACAAGAAAACTACAGAATCGCATTATACATACAGATTGAATGACTGTATCGGGGGCTGATTTGAAAGCTTTTGAAAGAGGATGAATTGCCTCTCTATATAGTTCATGAGCATTTGCACCACAACCAATGGTTACTGCCAACAAGCCTACACGTGGATTTAAATAACGTTAGCTATTCTAAAATGAATGTTCAAAGTAGGATAAAATTGTGGCATTCAAGAACTAGAAAGTCAAAACTAACCAAGGGCATGAGAGGCTAAGCCAATCTCCTTGGAAGATCCCTTTTTAAAAGAATTTAGGCATCGGTAAAGTAGAGTAGCAAAACTGCAAAAAATAAGCACAATATGAAAAATGGGTCAAAGATCAATGTCATGTTCAATGGTGAAAAGAAACATCATTCATTTATGGATAGGTTTAGCTACACACTTACATGCACATGTATGGGGAAAGAGAGAACAAAAAACTACAATTAAAATGTGAGATGACAAGGCATTTCTAATCCAAGTATCAATCATAAACAGACAGACAAATGCGATAATGGGAGAAACTATTCTCAAGGAGGTTGATGTAGTTCTAAAATAACAGCAATATCATAGTCATGGGGGCCAATGTGGACTAGTTGGAAGACCAAGAAGTATTTTTTAAATCATCTTGGAAGAGAAGTCTTGCTACCCATCTACTTGCATGAATCTTTGCCTAGTATACTTTGTCTACTAAGTTGTTTTTGAATTTAGATTTTATTGTCTTCTTTGTACTTTGTGGGGTCAAGTTGGACGTCAAAATAATCATTAGTGTTAATGTTGGAGAGTAGTATAAATTTTCTAGGAGAAAATGGACTTATATCTTCGGCAGATTCACTCCTAGATCATAAAAATGCAGTAGCACATCACTCCCTCTTTCTTCTTCTTATCTCAGATGTCTTACTGATTTCTAAAAACTGTTTTTCCCCTTTCCACCCGAATAAAAAGTAGAATTTTTCATGGTAACTATAGATCAAAAGACATCAAATAGGTTGGCTGCACATAAATCCCAGATTGCATATCCTCTTTATTGATCAGTGAAAATTCAGACTCCAAGCACAAGGGTGTGCCGATTAAAACTCAATAAAGAGATAGTAGTTAATGGAAATTCATATCGTTTCTGAAGTTATTGTGTCACCATATGCAACCACTAAATTGCATAAATAAATTCAACCACAAAAAGTCATCACAAAAGAAGTACAACTGGTTAAACTCTGGAAGTAGATGATAACAAACACGAGATGCAAGGACATGTGTCCGAAAAGGGAGAACAGAAAATTACAATTATAATTTGAGATGGTAAGCTATTTTCTAATGTTAGTATCACTCATAGGCAGACAGACAAATGCGATAATGGGTCAAACTATTCTCAAGGAGGCTGATGTAGTTCAAAAAAACAGCACTGTCATAGTCATGGAAGCCTATGTGGACTAGTTGGAAGACCAAGAAGTAACTTCAAAATCGTTTTGGAAGAGAAGTCTTGCTACCCATCTACTCGCATGGTTCTTTGCTTTGTAGACTTTGTCCACTAAGTTGTGTTTGAGTTTGGATTTTATTGTCCCCTTTGTTGTTTGTGGTCAAGTTGGATGTCAATTGTGTTTGAGAGTGGTATATATTTTCTAGGAGAAAATTGAGTTGTATTTTTGGCAAATTCACTCTTTCATAACACCAAAGCAATACAACATCACACCCAATCCTTCTCCTTATATAGGCTCTCTTCCTGATTTCTAAACCCTGTTTTTCCCCTTTTCCATCCATATAAAAATAGAATTTTCCATGATAACTACAGATCAAAAGACATCAGATAGTTTGGATGCACATAATTCTACTGCTAGTATTTCACAAATCTCAGAATGCATATCGTCATACCCCAAGCACTAGGATGTGTTGATTAAAATTCAATAAAGAGATATTAGATAATGGCAATTATATAGTGTTTCTGATATTATTGTTTCATCATATGCAACAATTAAATTGCACAATAGTCATCACAAAAGAAGTACAATTGGCTAAACTCTGGAAGTACATGATAACAAACATTATGTTAAAATTAGAAAAGAACTGATTACTTTTTTTGAGCAAACTGTAGTTGGTAGTTGATGGTAAATCCCTCCATAATCCAAGACAGTGCACTCTCCCTTTTTATCTCCTGGAAGAAAAAAAACTTCAAAACTCAGCAAAAACCAATCTCCACAAATATACTTTGCTAGCATCCAAAAATTTAAAAAGAAAAAGATAGAAATAACCCATTAACATCTAACTGATTTGTTCAAGACAGAATAAACCTTTTCTGAAATAATCCCTCCAGAAGTTCACCCAATGACTTTGCTCTACCATTCGAAATCTTAGTATCAACATCATTCTCAACATCACCCACACTCCTTGGGCGACCAGAAGCTGGAGCAGCAAGGCAACATCTTAATGCATAATTGCATAATTAACACACCTACGTTCAGGTGGTATTATAAAATCATACAATATGTAGAACAACAAAAAGGTTGAAGGATGAATTGAACTTACGCTTTATCTTCTTCGTCATCTCTAGTCGTTGTACTCATAATCTCAATATTCAAACAAGATTCATATAAATAAAATATAAAATCCATATAATAATCAAATAATACTGATATCAATTATGAACTCAAGAAAAAAAAAATACCCACTTCAAAAAAACTATTAATATCCTGAAAAAAAAAAAAAAAACTCCGAACTCCCTGAACTATCTGATGGCCACCAAATCAAAGATCTCAAACTTTTATTTTCCCAGTACTCAACTCCCGTCGGACACTGTATTGCTTGTTGTACTAACAATCTCTATATTTAAACAAGAACCCAATCAATATAATATGAAACCCATATGAAAATAAAAAAATTTTAAATAAACCCACATGATCAATATATGAATTGAAGAACGAGTAATGAGCAATACCTCTAAACTAAGAGGAATTGTCAATTGGGGTTACATTTTATGCCTAGATTTTGCAGCACTAGGTACCATATATACAAAGGAGAAGTCTTTACATAGTGGGTTTTGGATTTGGAAAACACGTATTATAGGTTGGATAGAAGTGGAGTGAGAGTGAGCTTCCATCAGAGCAACTCCAACCTTGCTCAACAACTTCAATTAGATTCGTTAGTGAGACGTAATCCTTGTGCATTAGCTTCTTCAATTCAATATCGTCGTCATTATGCAATGTCGTCTTGGATACTGTCTGCATAAAAACCCCCAAGTATCCTCGACCATAACAATTTGGTCAATTTGAAAGTCGTTCATAGCTCTGCGCTTTGCATGTACATCCTCCAAAAATCTTAAGATATTACTGTATATATAAAGCATCAATTATTTTACCAAATATGTAGTACTATAGACGAAAAAAAAAACTTGGAGATAATTGAAGTCTAACATAAAAAAGTTTTACATCTCGAGAGGTACATATGGTTGAAGGCTAATGAAGTCTTTAACTGTTCGATACTAATGGTAACCAGATCCTTCACATTCTCGTATTTTTCTGTCGATATATTCGGCCAGTGTTTCAGAATAGCTCTCACAAATGAGGGTGAAAGGACGATAACTCTGGTTATTAATGTAGGCGTGGTCACTTTCAGCATGTTTAGATGAATCATCTCTGCTGCAAACTTCCAAGTCAGATGGTTCATCCAAACATGTTGAAAGTGAACCATCTGACTTGAAAGTACACATTCAACATGTTTGGATGAACCATCTGACTTGAAAGTCTGCAGCAAAGATGGTTCATCCAAACATGCTGAAAATGATCACGCCTACATTAATAACCAGAGTCATCGTCCTTTTACCCTAATTTATGAGAGCTATTCTGAAACACTGGCCGAATATATCGACAGAAAAATATGAGAATGTGGGGGACTTGGTTCTCATTGGTATCAAACAGTTAAAGACTTCACTTGCCTTCAAACATATGTACCTCTCGAGATGCAAAACATTTTTAGGTCAGATTTCAATTATTTCTAAGTTTTTTTTTTTCGTCCAGAATACTACATATTTTATAAAATAATTGATGTTTTATATATACAGTGATATCTTAAAATTTTTGGAGGATGTACATGCAAATCGCAGAGCTATGAACGGCTTTCAATTTGGTCAAATACGAGAATGTGGTGATCCCGTCGCTTTCAAATTCCTCCAAATTGGTGCATTCATACCTAAGTGGGGCATCTACCATATGTGGGAAGTCATCAATTCCTGCTTGCAAAATAAGAAAACAATTTGAGTAAAAGAACTCCTAAAATAGCTCTAATTTGAAGAATAAAAATGTTTACTTACCATTTTTGAAATCAATCCCTTGCAAACAAAAAACAAAAAAAATTAGTAATCACTATAAAAAAATGTATCCTGGGTGACGTAATTGATCGCTTTTAAGCGTACATGACCATCAATCAAAGTGTACGAAATAGATAGACCAAACGATAAAGCACTAAAGAAAATCATGTTAGAAGTCCATATTTTCATTAAAATGGAAGATTGATCTACATGATATGTAATTTTTTAAGTATTAAATTCAAATAGGACTCCAAAAAAAAAAATTCAAGTTCGTTCATGCATCATATGAAACACCTCAGCTATCAACAAAACATTGTAACTCAAAAGTTTTTTGGCTTTATCCACATTCAAGAGATTTTGCATGACCAACAGCCACTAGAGAAGAAAACTACATAGAATTATCACATGAACAATGGATCAATCAAATAATTCAATTAACTACAATCAACAAGTTTGGATTCTAGAGAACGGAATGCATGTAGTATTCACTTCAAAGAAAAACATGAATCTGTGAAATATGACATAATAACCCAAGTTCTAGCGAGAGTCATAATTCTTCTATTTTTCTAATTTCCTATGCTAGCAAATCAAGATTCAAGGCTACATAAACCAATATTTCCAAGTTCCAACCCTAAAGTTCAAGCTTATAATTCATCTTTTTCCTCCAACAAATATTTACTTCTAGCAACGTAAAACCCACAAAATCTAGGGTCCTATTCCTGGCTGAATGGCCTACTTTCCAACAAAAATAGCTGCTACACAGCCACCAAATTATGCCTTTCCTATTCCCATAATCACCCAGCCACCTAATTTTTCTTTCACCTTTTGGCTTTCAATTTAATGCCTAAGGACTGCCATAAGTTGCAGTCAGGCCTTCCGGAAACATAAAAGTTGAATTCAAACACAAATTATTGAACGTTGCAAGAAAATCAAATAAGTTAAATAGTGGCATCATAATAACAATCTACACACAAACGTTACTAAATGAACTAATTGAGTTCATTGACCGTTTCAATAACTATAGATTCAACCTTCCCACGGAACTATCATGGATACAACATTAAAAATTGAGTGAGAAGTAATCTTGAAACTTGACTTTCTTTTTCTTTCCCAATATTTTTTGAGCAATCAAACATAATAATAGAATAAATGCCACAAAATGTTTTACAAAAGCCCATTACCGAAAGACTACAATCAACCAAATTCCCTTGACGAACAAACACAATGCGATAGGATCAACCCCAAGGTGGGCAAGAAGCTCCCAATTGGAAATAGGGTCAAAATCCAACAGTTAGTGGAAAAAAAATAGGGAACAAAAAAACCTCGGCAAGTGGGTATCAAAAATTCTAATGGATTTTTTTTGTTTTGTTTTGGTCGTATCAATGGAGATTGGTGGGGTTGTGTTGGGGTCATGGGGTGTTCAAAGGTTGTATTGAAAGCATAAAAAAAAATTTTGGAATAAAAAAATTTAAGAAATCAAAATCGAATCTGATTTGAAATTCAAAAAATTGAAGGTTTGGCAAGGGAGATAGATTAGGGTTTGGGGGTAGTGACGATGGCCAATGGTGGTGGGGAGAGGAGGAAGGGGGTGAAGGTGCATGGATTCAGTGAGACGATGAAGGAAGCCAAGTGGTGCAAGGGAGGTAGGTTGTGGTGTGGGGCAATAGGTCGTTGGTTGTGCGAGAGGATGCAAGTAGAGAGAGAAGAGATGGGAAGAGAGTCTGCTAAGTCGTGTGGGTAGTATGAGTTGATTCATCCAACATCTCTTGCCATAGAGGCATGGTCAAAACTATCTGCTCCAAAGGCTTTGAGAGGTTTCTTGGGCCTCAGGTTATTATAGAAAATTTGTGAAGGACTATGGAAAATTTGCAACTTCTCTTACTGCTTTACATAAAAAAAATGGTTGGACGTGGACCCATGAGACTGAAATAGCATTTAAAGCCCTTAAATCGGCTATAACCCAAGCTCCTGTTGACACTTCCTAATTTTGCTTAACAAATTTGTTGTGGAGTGTTATGCTTCTGGTGTTGGAGTTGGAGGGGTTCTAATGTAGGATGGCAACCCAATTGCTTACTACAGTAAACCATTGAATGGAAAGAATCTAACCAAAGGAGTCTTAAATATCTCTTTGAGCATAGAATTTCAACATCAGCTCAACATAAGTGGTCAACTAAGTTAATCGGTCATGACTTTGTAATATAAAAGAGGGAGCAAAAATTCTGCAGCTGATGCTTTATCTAAAATAGATGAGGACAAAGAAATCAAGATTTCAACCATATCTCCTCTGATGGCGTCATGGGTGGAAAAGGTAAAGGCAGAGACAGCTACTGATCCTTGTTCACTAGAGAAAATGGAAGAATGGAGGGCAAGAAATCTTGATTGCTGGGCTCAACCTGTCGGAGTCAATTTCTCGTCATTACAGAGTTACATGAATCCCCTTCTTCATATCATTTGGGCTTTCGTAGAACCTTGAAAAAAGTTTGCAAAACCTTTTATTGGCGGGATCTAAGAAAGGAAGTGCAAAAGTTTATTAGAGAATGTGATTCTTGTCAAAGGCACGAGGCGGAGAGTGCAACTCCAGCAGGCCTCTTGCACCCACTTCTTGTTCCGCGCAGAATACGGTCTAATTTTGCAATAGATTTTATTGAAGGTTTACCCGGCTCCTACAGAAAAATTGTTTTCTTTGTTGTGGTGGATCGTTTGTCTAAATATGGGCATTTCATTGCTTGGTCTCATATTTTATTAAACGGCCTCAGTAGTGAAGCTGTTACGTGGAGCATGTTTTCAAACTTTGTAGAATGCCTACATCAGTCGTAAGTCATAGAGATCCAACCTTCACTAGTCTATCTTGGAAAGAGTTGTTCCAGCTTCAAGGCACTCAACTTAATATGAGCTCTTTCTATCATCCGCAAACCGATGGACAAACTAAAGTACTCAATCGATATCTCAAAAATTATCTTCGTTGTTTCACGAGTATTAGACCCAAAGAATGGTCCAAGTGGTTGCCATGGGTTGAATGGTGATATAATACCACTTACCATTTCTTCTATTGAGATGACTCCCTTTAAAGCTGTGTGTGGGGTTTTGCCACCCACACTTAAAGACTTACATTGTAGGGACAACAAATGTCCAAGCATTAGAGGAAAAGTTGAAGGATAGAGATAAAGTCTTAACATTATTAAAGAAAATTCTGAAAGTTGCTCATGAAAGGATGAAGAAATACTCTGATCGCTATAGGACAGAAAGAGAGTTTGAGGATGGAGATTGGGTGTACTTAAAGTTACAACCTTATCGACAATCATCTTTGGTCTTACAATTGTCTCTCAAAATTTCTGCTAGGTATTTTGGGTC